TTGTTTTTTCTTAAGAAGGCATAGAATTTGGGTTTACCAAAGCAGCATGGGTTAATATTTTGATGTGCATACTTGAAGGAATATGTGAAAGTCTAGAATCAGCCCATACAATCATGATAGTTTAATAGGTGTTGTACAACTCAAGTCTTCAATTATACTTTAAATCATTCTTTTATAGAATTAAATATTAAAAAAACTTAGACCTATTGTGTATTATTACAACTTTACTTCATTTACTAATGTCCTTTGACAGGTAATTTGGAAATTTTTAGAAAATTATTTTTCAAACTTCGAAATATAAACAGTAATCCTATACTATCTAATGGCACGTCATGAAAATTTTATGTGGTTTAGAATTTAGTGATTTAACTTTGATGATATGCACTTAACTAGCATGCTGAAGTGGGTGTCCTCTTTATAAAGGCGATTATTGAAAAGAGTAAAGATTATGGGCATGGGTTTGGGGAACGCAGTACAGGCATTTTGCAGAGCCATTTATACACACTAAAATGGAAATATCCACTGAGATGAGATATTATCAGTTATATTGAACTTTACTTTGTTTTAGAGGCTAGTTACAAAGAAAGAAATTTGAGAATGATGCTACAAATAAATTTATATACAGTTCATCATAGCAAGATGATGGAAATAATATGATCTTATAAAATCTAATAACATTAACATCAACATCTTTGTCAGCTGTTTGAGTCTATGGAGAGGGATGCAGAAGAGCAGCTAATAAAAAAAATCTAGTTAAATCAAGTGTTAATTAATGTGTCCTAGGTGGTTTTCTTCTTGTGACTTGTAATTGTATTGACAGATAGTGAATTATAACTGTAAATCTTCATTGTTACCAAACCCCTTGAAACAATGTCTTGATTGTTTTGTCTTTTCTGCCCCTCACTTCTCATACACACACACACACACACACACACACACACGCACATGAATGCATACACACGCACATTCACACAAACAGAATCCTACAACCCAGCAGGGGTGCAATCAACATATCCATCTCAACACAAATCCCTTGTGTTTGCGTTTGTATCAGAAATGAAGCTTGATAAGGGCAAAAGAAAAAATTCACATAGAGAGAGAGAGAGCCAAAGCAATGAATAACAAATGCAAAGCTGAATATTAGAAATATTTTAGCAAGGTATGATTTTCTGTTCATTCCACTTTCAAACTCTTGCTTTTTTGCTGCTGCTGTGTTTACTGCTAGAAATAAATTTTCAAGTCTCTCTTGCTCTCTTTTAAAAAGTTTAGAAATGCAGTCTTTTTGAAATTATTTTCAGAAACTCTATTTCTCAGTAACACTTAGAGAGACGATCCAGTTGTCCTCTCACTTTTGGGGTTTTGTTTTCATAGTAAAGAATAAATTCTTAAATCATAAAATAAATCACAGAATAAAGCAATAGAAAACAAATATATCTCCGGGGTAAATCTATTGTTACCATTTGGGGAGCTCATTACAGACATTTTCTGTGCATCTATACATAGAGAAGGATGACTATATTCAGGTATGCACACATGGATGGATGAGTGGATGGATGGAAAACAAGTAGACAGACTGAGAGTTAGATAGATTTTAAAATAAGATTGCACTTTAAAAGATAATTGTAAAAAGAATCATTTAAGGAAAGCAATTTATCTTTCTTAGCAGGATAGTGGTAGGGTTGAGTATTGCTCTTGAGTCAATTTTCTTTAACCTAAGCCATATGTCCCCAAAGCGCATATGTTAAAGGAAGAGTTGGGTTTGAGCTGAATGTTGCTTCTGAAAATTATAGGGGGCGTATTCAGTATTTCTACAGAACTGCTTAAATCCTAATTCCTGGGCAATGCAATGGTCCCACCAGTATTTCTGTGCTATTTCTTTATAGAGGTATACACACACATCCATAAAACAAATACAATAAGTTTTTTCTATTCAGTCAGGGCTCATGTCAGTGTCACAAGTTCTGGCTCACTTTCCCAATTCCTAAATATGCCTAAGAAATGCCATAACCAGAAGCCATTTATTCCAGTATCTTCCTATTAGTAAGAGTATGCAGCACCATCTATGCTCACTGTTTCTGCCCCACATTTCCTATGGCAGCTCACTGGTGACTCACCCACCTCCATGCCAGTCAACTTTGAGACAGGAATGCATTAGTAAAAACTCTCAAGGTTAACTCCATTCAACTACTGTTTGGCTGGAGGAAGCCATGTAGTCTTGCTTTGGAATCTTTTGTTTCTTTCATTAATAGCTGTATTTTTTCTCTTGCTTGTTTGATATTGATACATATAGGACATTTTTATTTTAGTATTTTAAAATGCCCTTATGTATAAAGAAATAGAGCATATATATGCATCTGTTTTATTCTGCCTCATTCACTCCAGGCCAAGGTTTTAATATTATGTTGCGTTTGCATACATGCATGTGTGTGTGCACGCACACACTCAGACACAGAAGATGCATATAGATTGGAAATATGCCATACTACTTGCTAAATCCTATTTCAGACATTTATTGGATAAAATTTTTACTTTGTTCTAAAGAAAAACTGCCCACCAAATTATAATTTATGCTTCCTCACCATTTGTAAACTTGTGTTATACATCATTTCAGCCAGGTGTAGGCAAGTTAATCACAATCTCAGCATGCTTCACTAACTTTAACATTATTTCTGAAGGATTGTAAATTCTTCTTCTAATCCAGATCCTCTATCCCAGATCCAAGAATAACACACAGAAAACATTCTGCCATTCATTAACTAAATGCTGATCAATGAACTATTTTTTTAAACCCACAGTTTTATTGTTATAAATAATTGCTGGATTCACTAAGTAAACAGAGAACAATAAAAGTCTATAAAACACAATATTAAAATTAAATTAAAATCCCATAATGAATGACAGCTGAACGGTAGTAGTGGATTATATTACAGTAAGGCTGGCACCAACCATGGAGATCATTTTTCAGTTTTAATATTCAAATGACATTGTAAAAGCTGCACATGCCTTATACTTTTAACCATTTTGTATTGACATCATTAATCCACATCAAGCATTTTGGCATTATAAAGCTATTTATCATATAAAATGTTACTGTCACTTGATTGAATTGATTTTTATTTTTCTCCTTCTCTCTCAAGGGGTAAGGTGTCTGTGCTATTTGTTTATAGATCAACTTCTGGGGTGTATTGAGGGCTGTTTCAGGGGAGAAGAGTGGTGTTAATTTACTGGTATTTCTTGTGTGCTATGACTGCAGACAGATCTTCTGTCAGTGTTCTAGAAAAAAATCCTCAGAATCATACATATATAAATGTCATAAACACAGACATTGGCACCTAGAAAGGTCATTGGCATATGGGTGACCACTGCCAGCTTCCATTACGTTAGCTCCACCAGATGGACTGACTGAGGGCAGCCTTAACCACGTCTCAATGGAAAGGACAGACAATGAAGCATCTTAAATCAAATTACCTACACAAGACATGGAGCAACCTAGCATAGGGTAGTGACATAGGCCCCAAACAAGACCAAAGTTATGGAGGAGAAATGTTTCAGTGTAGCTTACAATCAATTTTGGAAGCTTTTCTAAACCCATTCTCCTGACCCACGCTTTGTGTTCTGGGCAACAATATCTAAGAATAAAAATAGAAAGGGAAGATTTGGGGAATCTGTGAATGCAAAGTTAGAGCTTGAAGATCACTGCAGAGCAGACACAACATTTGTGTGAATGCAGAATGAGCATAAAATGGTTACATTAAAAATACAATAATTTATGTTTGTCTAAGGTTTTATAGTTTTCATAGATTCTAACCATTTATTAACAGAGTGTATCTTCATAATTAACTTAAAATTAGATGTCATTATTCATGTTGTATAGATTTTGAAAAGCACTCTCAGAAAGAGGAAATTATTTCCCTATGATTTTTCAGCAGGAAAAGAATAGAGCTGGATAGATATCAAATGTTGTCTTAAGGTTCTTTCTACTATAATGTGATCCCTAGAACAGCGCCTGAAATCTTGTGAGTTCCCAATAATAGTTGCCAAGTTTAAACATAAGCTATGGATATGGGTTTCTTTTTCTGTGCTCCATCAGTGCTCTGTTTATTTATCTATATCTGTAATTATATCTCTTTATTATAAATAAATATTTATGTCTGGCTTCTCTGTTGCACCACGTTCCTTGAGAGCAAGAAACCAACATGTTATCCATCTTTGTGTTAAGGTTCCCTAATATGTATGCCATAAAATGTGTGTCCAATAACTATTTGTCATATCAATAAATAATATTCTTATAGAAATAATGTTGGTATGCATAGAGACAAATCAAAATCAAGTAATTGCTTAGCTTCATGGTGCTTACTAAAAGTGTATAGGCATATGGGCACTATAAAAAGTGTATCATTCTTCTTCTCAATTAATTCTCAATTAATTCCATGCTCAAGGCTTGTTCTAGAAATTCAAGATTTAATCTTTTTAAATTATTATTTCAAAATATCAAGGGGGTACAAGTGGTTTTGTTACATGGATGAGTTGTATAATGCTGAAGTCAGGGCTTTTAGTGTGCCTGCCACCAAAATAGTGTACATTGTACCTAATAGGCAAGTTTTTACCTCTCAAACCCCTCCCAACCTCTATCCTTCTTAGTTTCCAGTGTCCTTTATACTACTTTATGACCATGTGTGGCCATCGTTTGTCTCCCACTCATTAGTTAGAACATATAGTGCTTGTTTTTCCATTCCTGAGATACTTCATTTAGAATAATGTTTTCCAGGTTCATCCAAATTGCTGCAAATGACATTTTATTCCTTTTTATGGTTGAGTAGTACTCTCTTTTGTGTGTGTGTGTGTGTGTGTGTGTGTGTGTGTGTGTGTGTCACATTTCCTCTATCTACTCATGAATTAATGGATACTTATATTGATTCCATATCTTTGCAATTGTAAATTGTGCTATGAAAAGCATTTGAGTGCAAATGTCTCTTTTATAAAATGACTTCTTTTCCTTTAGGTAGATAACCAGTAGTGGGATTGCTGGATCAAATGGTAGGTCTACTTTTATTTCTTTGGGAAATATACATACTGTTTTCCATAGAGGTTGTACTAATTTGCAGTCCCATCAACAGTGTATAAGCATTCCTTTTTTACTGCATCCACGCCAGCATCTGTTTGTTTTTCTTTTTGTTTTTTTGGCTGGTTAATAATGACTATTCTGACAGGAGTGATGTGGCATCTCATTGTGGTTTTAATATGAATTTCCCTGATGATTAATGATGTTGAGCATTTTTTCATATGTTTATTGGCCATTTGTCTACCTTCTTTTGAAAAAGGTCTGTTCGAGTCTTTAGCCCACTTTTTAATGGGATTGTTTTTCTTGCTTATTTGAGTTCTTTACAGATTTTGGATATTTGTTCATTGTCAGATGTATAGTTTGTGAATATGTTCTCACATTCTGTAAGTTGTCAATTTACTTTGTTGATTATTTCTTTTGCTGTATAGAAGACTTTGAATTAAGTCGCATTTATTTATTTTTGTTGTTGCTATATTTGCTTTTGAGGTTTTAGTCATAAATTCTTCACGTAGGCCAATGTCTAGGAGAGTTTTTCCTGCATTTTGTTCTAGAATATTTATGGTTTCCTGCCTTAGTTTTAAGTATTTAATCCATCTTGAATTAATTTTTGTATATCTTTTCTAGCTCTGTGAAATATGACATTGGTATTTTGATGGGAATTGCATTGAATGTGTAAATCACTTTGAGCAGTATAGACATTTTAACAACGTTGTTTCCTCCAATCCATGAGCATGGCATGTTTTCCCATTTGTTTGTGTCATCTACCATTTCTCTGATCAGTGTTTTGTAGTACCCCTTGTAGAGATCTTTCACATCCTTGGTTAAGTATATTCCTAGGTATTTTATTTTCTTCGTAGCTACTGTAAATGGTATTGGCCTCTTGATTTGATCCTCAGCTGGACCGTCATTATTATATAGAAATGCTACTGATTTGTGTACATTGATCTTATAACCTGAAACTTGGCTCAGTGTTTATCAATTCTAGGAGTCTTTTGGTGGAGTCTTTAGGGTTTTCTAGATATAAGATCATATCATTAGTAAACAGGGATAGTTTGACCTCCTCTTCCTGATTTGGATGTCCTTTATTTCTTTCTCTTGCCTGAGTGCTCTGGCTCAGTCTTCTAGTACTACGTTGAATAGTAGTGGTGACAGTGGTCACACTTGTCTTGTTCCAGTTCTTAAGGGGAATGCTTTCAACTTTTCCCCATTCAGCATGGTATTAGATGTGGGTTTGCAATATATGGCTTATAATTTTGATGTATGTTTTCCTATCATGAAGGAGTACTGGATTTTATTGAAGGCACTGAGCAACTAGGGCCCTCTCCTATGTAGGTATAGATGTTCTGCTGCCATGGCACTTCTCAGGTGGCATCAGCTGATACTGAGGGTAGCAAGTGCCTGTTCTGCTTTAGTCCTCATGTAGCAGGAGGGGTGCATGGCTCTCAGCCATGGGGTGCATGAAAACGTATGCCCTCTCAGTTCCCTCCCTGGCCCAGCAGGGGTGATGTAGAGAGGCTACTATTGTGAAGCCAATCCCTGTGCACATCAAGCTTTCTGGGCCTGAGAGCTCAGGATGGTAACGGTTGCAACCACATGGGAATAGAAACTAGTAGGTCCCTATTGGGCCTGCTCTCTGGTACCATGTTACTGCACAGCCTTTAAGCAGCTCCCTGATCAGTATGGAGACCTACTGTGGTAGAAGGACCCCCTTGCAGCTCAGGTTGCAAAGTCAGTGAGGGATGAGGGAAGTGTAGAGCCCTGGGGTTCTCTCCTCTGACCCTTCCCCACATGTGTACATTTCTCCCAGGTACCTTTTGATCTTGCAGAATGGATCACCCTGCCTCCCTCTCCTTACCAGTAGATGTCTCCAGTCTCTTCTCTGCTGATTCACAATACTTTCTCCAAGATGGTAAATTCACAAGTCAACTTTCGATCCTGTCCTTGAGAGTGGTGTGTGCAAGGTACTTCTAGTCCATCATCTTGGATGCCTCCTCTTAATTAAGCTCAGGTTTAATCTTTATAGAGAAGATAATGTTTTGCTGGTTATGTGCTTAAAAAGACATGTAGGCTATATATGTAAGTATATATACACACACACTTATATATCACTTAATACAAAATATTATTTTTAGATTCTAGCTTAAATACTGTGGGATATTTTGATAAAGTGGAAGTTCTGAATTATAGCCATCTATATTATATTTCTTCTTAGAATGTTTCTTGTCAGTGTTTTATAGATAATGTAATTGCATTCATAATTTTGCAATAGCAGTATGCTATCTATAATTGTATTTACTTAATAATCACCTTTCATTTTGCTTGCATTTAAAGAACATAATCGAATATTTTGAAGTAAATTTTAAATCATGAGAATGAATATAAATGAGCATAGCTTATAAATAAAAGAACACAACCATGAAAGTCCTTAACTAAAACTTTTTTTTTTCTTTTTTTGAGACAAAGTCTCATTCTGTTGCCCGGGCTAGAGTGCCATGGTATCAGTCTAGCTCACAGCAACCTCAAACTCCTGGGCTAAAGCAGTCCTCCTGCCTCAGCCTCCTGAGTAGCTGAGACTACAGGTATAAGCCACCAACCATGGCTAGTTTTTCCTATATATATATTTTTTTAGTTGTCCAGCTAATTTCTTTCTATTTTTTCAGTAGAGACAGGGTCTCACTCTTGCTCAGGCTGGTCTCAAACTCCTGAGCTCAAACTATCCACCCACCTCGGCCTCCCATAGTGCTAGGATTACAGTCATAAGCCACTGTGCCCAGCCAAAACTTTTTTTTAAATAAAAGAAAATGAACAAAATGCAGTTCAGAAAACAAAATTCAGATGTTAAGAACCTCCTGAAGTTATGTAGTGACCCCTCATTTAACATGTATTGTGTTTAGACTAGCACTAGTCTTACTAATTGTCACCTTTCTGTAGCTCTTAAGGAAAAGATAATTTCCTCAAGAATAAATTAATTTTTTCTCTTATATGCTCCAGTATTAGCCCACCCCTTCATTATCAGGAACCTTTGTAATTGCTTGTTCCTTTCCTGTCTTCTGTGGCAGATTGTAAGTACCAGAAGGGTGGTGCCCTGACCCTGGGTCACTGTTCTATTCCCAGTGCTAGGCACTGAGGCCACTATATAGTAAACACTTCATAAACATTTGTCAGAATAAATGATCAAGTGAATGAATATGTGTGTTAAAAGTGGTCTATATTAACTTCTTTTGCTCATGTTCTTTATATTACTTTAACAGGTGTTTTGTTATAGGTGATTTAGGAGTAAGTAGGCTCCTATTTCTGGAAGACGCAAACTTCAATAATTAAAATTATTAAACTTAAAACATGAACATCTATTTTCCAGCTTCTAAATGTGCAGGAGAGAGAAAGAGAATGTGTACATGCAGGTATATGTGGTTTTTACATAACTTATACCAGGGGAAAATAAACATCTTTGTTCTTCTTGCCAATTTACAGAAACTGGTGAGATAGTAAAACAAAATCTGGAGATTTTACATCTTGTCAGTTTCTGTGTGTCAGTAAAGGGTGTCAGTGTCCATTTTGTTTAATCAGAAGCACTAAAAATATTCTTTGAATAGGTAAGGTGAGGTCTCTGGCTGAGTGGGAGATGGAGAGATGAACTGCCCTGCATACTAGATGAGGGGAATCTGAGTCTTGTTTTGGATTGGGATTGCAGGAAGCAAAGAACCCAAGGATGAGAGGGTCCTGGTGCTAAGGAAAGGGTGTTGCCCACTGGTGCTGCTGCACTGGGAAGAAGTCTTAAGCTAGATAAACAGACCAGCAACCTGGTAAAGAAATTCTCCTTTACCCAAATGATGGTTTCTCGTGAACACCCATCCCTGCCTATTTTTAGTGTTTTGTTCTGTGCTTGTTGATGTGTTTAATTTTAATCATGGAAACAGAACTCAAGTTCTACATCTTAACTTGTGAAACAGACAAAAAATGACAGCCGTAGAAAAAGTGAATGAGCAGAAAGAATTGGGTTCTTGGCAAGAGCAGAACTCAGAGTCAAAATATATGTATTAACTAGAGGCCTTTAGAAACTCACAGAAATGTTATAGGTGGATACATTTAATTTTGTCTAAATCTGAAAGAATATGGTAACATTGGCTGACATCTGACTGATTCAATAGACATCATGAATTAATTTGATCCATCACTGTTAGTTTGCTGCAATTTAACAAATATTTAGATTTATTAAACATCTTCTAACCTTTTGTTCACTTATGCATTTAATTTTTTTGAGGGGCTAGTATGGGAAAATGCTATGGAGAATGGACAATTTAATCAGACAGAATTCTTCTGATAGTAAGCATACATCATAGTATAGAATATTTCATAATAATATCAAATGATATTACAAACAGAAATAGGTAAGGGACACAAAAAGGGACAAATAAAATGCTATAGGCATCTACAGGATAGGGGAATTACTTCTAGGATATCTTGTTTTAAAAGATAGAATCTGCATTAGCCCCTGGATAATGGAAATAATTTGAGCACATGGGGATAACAGGAAATTCGTTTTGATAGAAGAAGGAGGTACAAGACAATAGATATAGAAAAATACTAGGTGGAAATGGAGAACATCAAGTAGTGTGTGAAAAAGAGAAATATGTCAATAGATTATAAGGCTAGAATTGAGTCAGTTTTAGAAACTATGATTGTCAGTCTTAGAAGCCCTGTCTTGGGCCAAGAATAATTGTTTGTAGGTTTTTCTGAGTGTGGGCTAAGTGTTAAGGGAAATTCTGGAACTCTTCTTAAGCAACATAAATATTTTAACTGTGTGCTGAATGTTTTGAATAAAAATATTTGGTAAACCATTGTTAGAGTCTTCACAGAACACACTTAAATTAAGGATATTGCTGAAGAAATGGCCTGTGGGGTGGTCACATGTCAGGAATGTTCTAGAAACAGAATGTACACAGCAAGGAAACCCTAGTCACCTCTATCTCAGATAATGCCAACAACATTCTCATAATTGCTGAAGGTGAATCATGAGAGTCATTGTGGATATCGCCCTGCCCTGTCTCTACCGTAATTAATCCCATAAAATAGATTCTTAATCTCCCTACTGTTTTCCATCTTCAACAGTACCAGCTGGACCTCTCACCTGGATGATGGCAGTTGCCTCCTAGCTGTTTTCTCTGATTTCACTCCCTACAAGGTTAAAAAAAAAAGGTAACTGAAATTATTTAATTTTCCAGTGTAAATATATCAATGTCTTTCCATTATACTAACAATAAAATTCTAATTTCTTACTATGGAGTACAAAGCCCAACATGATCTGGTTCATGTAATTCTGCAGTTCCTTTTATGTGCTCACTTATTATGTTCTAACCGTACCGGCTCTTTTTCTGTTCTGGAATATTGCAAATCTTTCCCCTTACTGGGACTTTGCATTTTTTTCTCCCTTTGGCTTGTAATGCAACTCTTTTTTTTTTTTTTTAAGCTTTGTTGTATGGTGGGCTCTGCCTCATTCTTCAGTTGTTAGTTCAAATGTTATCTCTTTAGAGTTACTTTCCCTGATGATTTTACCTAAAGTACCCATTGCCTCAGTCCATTCTGGCTGCTGTATCAAAATACCGGAAACTAGGTGGCTTAAACAATAGACATTTATTTCTTACAGTTCTGTAAGTGAGAAAGAAGTCCAAGGTGCCAGCAGATTTGGTTCTTGGTGAGCACCTGCTTCCTGGCTTGCAGACAACCACCTTCTTGCTATTGCTTACAGGGACTTTCTTCAGAGTATGCGTATGGAGAGACCAGGAAATTTCTCTTTTCCTCTTCTGATCTCTTTTAGACCTAATCACATCCCAAAGGTCCCACTTCCTAATACTATAACACTGAGGGTTTGAATTTCAACATAAGAAATTTGGGAGAGGAGTATAAACATTAGGTCCATAATACCACCACACCTCAACATGTCAACTTAAAAATATTGTATGGCGATTATGACAATATTCTCTCTCACATCACTATTTTCCCCTCTTAGTAATATAGCAATATAAAACTATCTGTTCATCTGTTTGGTGACTTGCTTATTTTTCTACCAGAGGATAGCTCCCCATGTTTTGTTCTTATTTATACCCAAGGACCTAGAAAGATGCCAGACACATGAGATTTGTTCATTAATAATTAAAAATATTAGTGAATGGATTATTCTATTAAAATAAGGAAAGGTATTAAAAGCTGCTATAGCACATCATGAGTGACTAGGAGAATGTGCTGTCTTTAATGGAACTGAAGAATGGTGATAGAAAGTTCATCAGGAAGGAAAAATAGCAAGGTAAGTGTGAGATGCACAGGTTAACAAAAATGATTTTAGCACAAAAGTTTTAGAAATATGAAGCACTGTGGAAATGTAAGGGTTAAAACAAGCTGCTCCTATTCTTGGTCTTTCCCATCCAGCAGCTTATAGCTCTGTGTATGTTGGTCACTCCTCTGATGCATTGGGCCTCAGGTGCCCAGAGAGCCCTAATTAAGAGTGATCTCATGGCACATATGAGAACATACCTTTCAGGCTTGAAGTGTGTACATCAGGGTCTAAGAAGAAAACAGATGCCTCACTCAAACAGGTTATGTAAGGGGCCATATAAAAAGCATGGTCACGCTTAATGAAAATCAATGTGGGGTAGTAAAACACAGTGGGACCTGTCACCATACATAAGTCTGCAAGAAAAACTAGAGGAAGCAGTTGCCTGAATGCAGCTACTTTATGTTCAGGTAGCCAGCAGGATAAAGTCCCTCACCTTACCTCTATTGTCACTGGTGGGCAGCTGATACTGCTTATTGACCAACCCAATAGAAGCCACAGGGTAAGAGAACCAGTTGCTTTATTGTATAAAATTCTACCTCCTTAGAGACAGAGAAAAGTAGCATAAAGTTCTAATCTCTTATTCTTATTTTTATCCACCAGAATCTAGAAAAATGCCTGGCACATAGTAATTCCTCATTAAGCATTTTAAAAATAAGTAGATGAATGATTGCAAATATGATATAATCAAACAAGGGAAATTTATTTAATGCTATTACAAGATATCCTGTCAAAGTGGTTAGGGGAATGGTGATATTTAAGTGTATGTCTTAGTGTATCTGAGAGACAAGTGGAAATTGTCTAGCACAATTTATTTTTCATTACCTGTAACTAATTCAATAATACATTGCTGCAGTTACTAGTTATAGAATGCCTGCCATGTGCAAAGCATCATTCTAAACCCTTTACAACCCAGTGAGAGAGAAATATAAGGAAAAAGGATTATTTGTACAAGATTGCACACATACCAAATGCTGGACCTGAGACTTGAACTCACATTGTTCCAATTCCAAAGTCAGTACTCTTAACCAAGGAATATTGCCTCCTTGCTATAATACCACCTATCCCTTTTTCCCTATCGGTTATGATTTCCCAAATTATTTTATCACTTCCGTTCTTTTATTAATTAACTTTAATATAACCTGGATTCCTAAAGAAGTGTTTAGAGAGGAAACCACAAAAGTTAAATCAGTAATATCTTTACTTCAATAGTACCTTTACTTTTATATTACAGTGTGGGTAATGTTTTCTTTGAGTTTAAACTGCTTTTTAACTGGATAATTTATCACATATGCAAAGAGACTACCTAATTAATAATGATATATATATATATTACCAAGTTTGAATCTCATTGAAGCCTGCCCTTTAATTATACTGATTTTTTGGACTTGTTTTACTGGGACACCAGAGGATCTACTTAAGAGATTCGTGGATCAAGTAATATTTAAGAATTCCTGAAATATAGGAATATTTCAATAGTTTCTCATGTGTGTGGGGGAGGGACTGAAAGTTTCAAGCTTCTAATCACAGCTTGATATTTCTTGTGGCCAGTCCCCCATCCTGACACTATCCAGAAATCACATCATTGAAATACAAATGCTCCTACCCAGGAAATTCCAAGGGATTTAGGAGCTCTATATAAAGCACTTCTATGCCAATATTACTCAGGAAATTACAATGGTTTTAGGAGCTCCGTGTCAAGAACCAGGGATAGCGACCCAATATATATTTCCTATTATGTCACAGTAAGTCATGAAAAAAACTTTAGAATTGGACCAAAAGTAAGAGAGGCCTGTGTTTGAATTTGAGCTTTGCATTTTCTATCCTAGTAACATGGGGTATTTTACTAAACACCATGAGGATACCTTATTAGGGTTTTGTGAGGACAAGATTATATAGGTTATGTAAGTGCTTAGTATAGTGCTTGGTCTACAGAAGGCATTCAAAAAATGTTATCTAAAATCATTATTGTTAATATAAGACAAAATATCACAATAATTATAATATATAAATCCTTTCTTACTATTTAGCAGAAACTGTTACTATTTAAGTCAATTTCCAATCGATATGAACTCTGTTAGGCAACTGTTACCATATCTATAGGGCTGTCATTTACCAGGATACAATTAAATCATCACTCTACTGTTCTTTTTTGATCTGTGTAACCAGCATCCTCTTTCACAGATTAAAACCAACCAACCAACAAACCTTACTACCTTTAGAGTTCTTAACATCTCTAGATAACCCTCTCCTAGATCATTTTCTAAGATATCTAGAATCAAAGGCTAAAATGGGATGCTAAGAGATCTGTATGTGTCTTTATTAGTTAGAGTTCTTTAGGAAAACAGAACCAATAGGGTGAATACACACACACACACATAAATTCTCCTTTATATATTATTAATATGTATAAAAGGAGATTTATTATGAAGAATTGGCTCATATGATTATGGATGCTGAGAAATTTTAGTCTCCTGTCTGCAAGCTGGAGATCCAGGAAAGCTGGTGGGGTGACTCAGTCTGAGTGCAGAAGGCCTGAGAACCTGGGAAGCTGATGGTGTAAATTCCAATCCAAGTGCAGGAAGAGATGAGGTAAGACTCACATTGAGGAGGGCAATCTACTTTATGGAATCCACCAGTGCAATTGCTTATCTCATCCGGAAACACCCTCACAGAGACCCCCAGAAATAATGTTTGACCAGCTATCTGGGCATCCCCTGATCCAATCAAGTGGATACATAAAATTAGTTATCACAGTATTGGTATCAAAGTTTCAGATATGTCTCAGCAAATAGTGAAGTAAAAATAGGATTAGCAAGGTAAATATATCATACTCATATTCATGGGGAGAAAGCACTAGACACAGAAGGAATGGCTAACATCTGAGTTAGCAAATATTGAAATATTATAAACACAAAATATTTGTATTATTTAATAATATATACTCATTGAAAATATTTAATCATTACCTATGTAAAGAAAAATCAAAAAGGAAATCTCCACTTTCCAAAATCTCATTCTTTCCATATGTATGTGTGTGTGTGTTTGTGTGTGTATAAAATGAAGTCCAGTCTTGCTTTGGATTCTCCTTCCCAAGTAGTTCTACAAATTCCCAGATTATTTTTATGTGTTGTCTGAGTATAACATAGGCTTCTCCAGATTGTAGTAGGGAAAGGATTGAGCCCTATTGATGATTGTAGAGATACATTAGTGTAACACTAATATGCCATTTCTCACATAATTAAAACATATGTTTTCATACTCCTAATGTTGTGTTAAACATTGCTGATGTCACTCCTTGTGGCAGATGCACCTCAGAGTGAAACCCAGTGATAATGCCCTGCATAATGTCCTCCCATTGAGTGCTGCAGAACATGTGACTGACTTCTAGCCAACAGAATATGGCAAGGTGATGGGCTGGTGACTCCCAGGATTTTATTACATTTCATAAGACTACATCTTTGCAGACTTGAGGGAAGAGTCTCCTGCTGTCCTTGAAAAACTAAGCTACCATATTGTGAAAAGGCCAGTCAGAGGGTCATTTGGTAAAAAACTGCACTGGCCTTTAGAAACAGAGTGTGGCCCACATGTGACAGTCATCAAGAAAACAGGGATGGACGTCAGCCCTACAGGTGAAAGAAACTGAATTTTGCCAACAGCCGCATGAACTTGGAAGAAGGACCTGAAATCCAGAAATAAATGGAGCTGGGCCAATATTTCGATTGATTACAGCCCTCTGAGATCCTGAGCAAATGACCCATCTAAGCTGCACCTGGAATCCAGCCCAAGGAAACTGTAAGATAATAAATGTATGTTATTGGAAACTGCTGTGGTGTGAATTCTACAGATGACCTCCTCAAACTGCTGACTACAGGTACCCTCTGGATAACTACATGCACCTGATCTTCATCACCAGCTCATTCAGACCTGGATTCTACATTATAGTGGTACTTTTCCTTCCTTCTCACATCGGTGCTCACATAGGGTGATGGTGAGAATGGTGGGAATAACTGAGAGAAAGTTCAAATTGGC